GTGGGCCACCCTGTATATCTTATAAGGGTTTGAACTTTATATTTTTGAATGGCGACATATTATATATTAAAGTAGCTTATAAAGTAGAAAATGACGTGAGGAAAAGTACGACCGGTAAATGACTAAATTGTTAATAACTTAAAAATTACTGGTACAAGAGTTGTTGTCGACTAGTCATTATTTTGATCATATCATATTCTATTTTATAAGCTACTTTAATATATATGTTGTGATTGAAAAATATAAAGTCCACTCTCTTATAATAAGATATAAAATATTGATCATAAAAATTATTTTATAACAGATAAATTAAAATACATATGTAACTAAAAAAAAAATTATTCTAAATACTTATTATTTTAAGACAAATTGAGTGGCTAGCGTTTAAAAAATCACTTTGTATACCTCGCTAGTTCGTTCCTCACTTGAATATGCTCTATTAATTTGGGATCAAAACAATAAAGGGCATAATGATCAACTTGAAAAAGACGAAATAAAGTTCTTATTTATGTCATAATTATAATATTCAAAGAACTCCTCACATTGGTTACGAGAAGTGTTAAATTTAGAAACATTAAAAATACGTAGATATATATAATTAAATATCTTTCTCATTAAATTACTAAATAACAAGATTGATGATTCATTTTTATTAAGTTAATTAAACTTCAAAGTAAATAATCACTACACTTGCAACTATCGTTTGTTTTATATTCCTCATTTTCCTTAAAAGTACATGTTTAATGACATAATTAATATTTTAATGGCTTTAGGAATTGGTTAATTGATTTAATAATTATTGTTTTAACTATTTATTATTGTATTTACCTATTACCATGATAACACATCTTGTTATATTCAATTAATGTTATGTATACTATAATATTTTAGATTGTACATTGTCCGTATGAATTATTAAAAAATAAGGAATGTTATAGCTAGAAAAAAGAACAATGAATTCAATATCATGTAGTTGGATGAATATTACATTTAGCTGGCTAAAAATAGGCATTTTTTCTGTAAATAATGGTTGACTTTAGACAATTTTAACACTATTTTTAGAATTGATAAAAGATAAGTGTTGTTAATGTGTTTATGAAAGACGCATCTAACATTAGATTGTTTAATACATTTATTTCACTCTCATCTAAATTTTGCATAGATTAATTTCATAAGTATTAATACACATATTGATGTCCAAAGTATGATAAAATTTGATTTTTTTTAACACGCGAGATTGTTGAAATCTCTAATTTTATAACTTTAAAATTTAGTAATAAATTTAGGAGCTCTCGGTAGTATGAATATATTTTTACATTTAAACGTGTGTATATATATACTTAAATTATAAATGAAATGCTTTTTTCAAATTATTCAAATGAAAATTAAATATTCTTCTCTGTCAACATAAAGAGGTACTTGGACTTATATACATAAATAACTCGGCGTTCAAAGTGAGCTCCTTATAAATTATTTACTCATATGTTGCTAATAAAAATAAATTACCCTTACAATGCCTCTTATTTAGGTATGAAGTGTTTAAAAAATGTTATTAAATAATATTAATATAATGTTATTATTTTAAAATGTTTACTTTTGTAGATTTTGTAAAAAAGCTACACTAGTTTGATGATCTCTAAAAAATTAATAATTTACATGAGTAGTCTGCCGTTTGGTTATGCTACTGTATCTCTATTTTTGTTTATTCTCTTATGTAAAAAAAGCTATGTAGGTTTAGTTATCTTAAATTCTTAATAAATTAAGCACGTTGTCCATCAGAACATATAATACATGTAATTTAAAGATGTGTGACTATTACTATTTAACAGGATGTTAGCAATGTTAAGCAATTTTAAACATAAAAAGATTTTGCATACACTTGTCTAGTCAAAAGAACCCTTTTTCCGATTGCATGAAAGTAATATTTTAAATATTTATTGGCCAGTAAAACAGATAATAGTTTATTTAATATAATGGTTATAAATTTAGCTACACATGAATTTCGTGTATATAAGACGTGATTAATATGTTACAAGTAGTCTGTTGGGGAACGTTAATAAGGAGTAAAAATATAATTTGGAGATAAATATTTATGTATAATATATTTCTATTATATTTAGACATGCGTGTTCCAAGGTCGTCTCAAATGTGGTTATAGTACAATTATGACCGGTTTTTACATCTTTCCGTCTTCACCCAAAACGAAATCGAGATATTATTCTGAAGTGATTATGTTCTAAAGTGGAACATAATCACTTATTCATGATAACGAATCTGAATTAGTTATTTTTTTTAGACAATTAATGATAATTAAATTTTTATGCTTTGATCAAAAACGTCGCATGTAAGTAATTGTTAATTATTAGAAGTGTCATTTGGTTGTTTTACATTTTACACATAACAGTAAATGCATGGAATTTCATCTGAGGTATGAAATATTACTAACAAAAAAAAATATTATATATTCAAAAATGATTCAACTACCAACAAGAATTTCCTTAAATTAATCCTGACGAAAAACACCAATGCTTAACATGATAAAAAATAATTTGGAAATTTGGCAATGCGCTAATAAAAATCTAATATTTATCTATAAAATTAAAATTATTAATCGCTTTGATGTGTTCATTTTATTTAAATATACAAATAATAAGTATATACAGAGTGATTCTATTGTCACAAACCAATTAATTAATCGAAAAATAAAAATAAAATTGATAATTTTTTTTACTGGTTATAATTGGAATTTATTGTGAATTTTTAATTTTCATAAAGATAAATAATATTAGATTCAACAAATTTCAACAATATGTAGTAAATAATTATTTTTAATTCTTTCAGTATTAACAGAATCTTATATTTAATTTTCTTAAATGGCAACTCCTATTTTTTAGCTCGACTGGTATATATGCATTTCTACCTCCCTTTTTATAATTTATACACCCTTTGTATAAATTATTGTAGTTTTACTACGTTTACTATAAGCTATTAAAAATGCTAATAGTGTAAAACTGGAACAGTGTAGGACCATACTCTTTTCTGTTATGCTTAGAAACATTGAACAATTTCATTTTATACTAGTATTAATGTACGGATATAATTATTTCTATGAAGGTTGAGACTAAACATTGTGCAATCAAAAAAAAATTTTTTCATTCATTTTATGATTTAGAATACAATAGTAAATTTCTATTAAAAATGAGTAGTACAAATAAGAAACGTCATTCAATATGTTATGATCACGTTTGTACTTTTTCTATTCTAACTAGTCATTATAATACATGTTGTTTTGAAATCTAATAAGTTAATGCCTTTCTATAAAAATTAAAAAATAATATATTAATATATTAATATATTTATTACATATTTTGTAAATAAAACCGACAAAATATAAATTATTATATTATATTATATATATAAGTATGGTAATTATTACAAGCATTATTTGACTTATATTATTCATTATAACACTATTATATTTTATTGTATTATTCATTAAAGTAATTTGTTTGGGGGCTGAGACGCTTTAGTCCTGGTAAAACTATTTGTAGCTTCTACAAGTGAATCGATTTTTCGAGTAGAGAAATGGGTAGAAAAAGCAATGTGATAGAAAAGCTTCCCGTTAGGTCTATTATCCAAAAATATTAATAGGATATAAGACTATAGTCCCCACAGATAATTTTTGACTAGTTTTAAGATATTGTGCTCTTCTTTAAAGTCTTGAGTTGAATACTTTACAAGGGCCAAAACCATAAAGGATATCAGACCCGTATTATATCGATGAGCTATTGCGAAAATCTCATAAAGTTCTCAAAATTATATTATAAACAAAAAGGTATTAATAATTCTTAACTAATTTATATTGAAATTTATTTTTACTAGTTATTAACCGGTAAAAGTATAAAATCTCTGTATACCGAAATCTCTTAATCTGGCTTTGTGCAGGCCCGAGTAGAGAAGTATACTTTTATGAACCCTACTAACTTTTTTTTATCCAAAGAAGACAAAATAGACTAATGTTTTTCCTACAATTGCCACCTATTTCCGCTACATGAGATCCAAAAATAGAAATTCTAGTACACCAGGATGACGGTCGTCATAAGCTTATTTTACTGATTCATATTTGGAGTTAGGATACATGTCATTTTAAAAATTAAAATGAATTTCAATTTTATTGTATTATAATTTTTATATGTCTACAGATTTATTTTTAGAAAAGCCCAGGGTCTTCCAAAAAAAAGAAGACCTCCACTAAAAAATTGATTTTAAAATTAATAATTTTAGGTCATCAATTATAAAAATAATATTTTTGATAGCATTATTACTTATTTTATATAAGATTATAAAATATATGATAATGTCCATAGGATAAACCTAGAAGAAATAGTACTGAATAGTTTAGTTTTATTTTTTGAATAATAATCTTAGACCTTCACTGGAAATTTAAGATAATTGTAAAACAGGTTAGATGTGACACATCGATATCGATTTTTGCAAATCATATCAACGTACTAAACATTAAATTTATCAAATAAAATTAAAAAAATGTATTATATAGCTACGTTGTGAATAGAAAATTCCAAGGAGTTTGGTTAGTGGTAGAAAATATTGAATAGTAACTATTGAAGTATTCAATAGTCATTTAATAACTATTCGAATAGGTAGTATTAAAAACTATTTGGTATTTTCATTCGAATAACATTAAAAACTTGGTAATGCTATTTGAATAATATGAAATCCTATTCAAAAATATATTCAAACAATTGATAATTGTACTATTGAAAAATTACCATTATTACTTTAGGTGCGGATTAAGTGAAACCCTCGGGTTTTATAACCTTTCTGATTAGAATAGCATTTGAAAAATTATGTTAATAAATTTTTCAAACAACACTCCAAAAAAAAAGAACTGTAAAATTTTAAAAGCGATGAAGTATTTAAAATTACTTATCAAATTTATTTAGCATACCATTTGTAAAAATTGTTTTTATTTTTTTCAGATGCAAACTATATTTTATCACAATTCGAGTGGTCGCGAAGCGTTCACGGGTAACTTGAAATTAAAAGAAGTTCATAGGGCTATAACGTTACATCCAATTAAACAACATAGTCACATGTATAGAATACATAATTATATGAAAGTAAGTAATGAGTAAACAGTTTTTGTTTTATATAAGCTTGTATATCAGTAAAAATATTTCTTTTACATACCTATAGCTTAAACATTTTCTTGGAAACTCCACAGACAGGTTTCCCCATGCAAACTGTGCATATTATACATGTAATATCATATACAGAGTAATTCATCACGAACCACGTAATTAATCAAGAAATAAAAGTTACATTGACATTTCGTTATATTTTTGGTTTCTTTTAAATTCTTTTAAAGTATTAATGTTCATAAATTTTGCCTTAAAAGTAATATAACTTTATTTTTCCAATGGCAACACATATAATTAGCTAGTTTATTTAATAGATTAAAAGTTATTAAGGAACAGCCATTTTCTTAATTAGTCCGTTATCTATTATAAATAAGCTAATTAAACATGTATGTGGTTATTTGAAAAAATAAATTATACACCCTTATAAGCTTATGCATACTTTATGCGTTTATAAAATTTGTTTGGATCACTTCTGGGACATCCAACTCCATGAAAAATTATCATAAGTGTGTATAGTAGCACAGAAATTTTAAGAGGAAGTGATCTACCTATGTCCCTCAAAACTAAAATTCTAATTTATATACACTGTTGTTTAGTATTAAGAAAAACTGATATGAATGTGTATTTATCATTGATGTACTTGGGATGACGAAAAAATAAACTTTAATAATGTAAAAATTCCCGAACCCCGCTTATAAAGTAAAAGTGATGAATATAAAAAAAATACCTCATGATAAATTGAGAAAAACATTGAATGAGAAGAAAAAAATAAAAAAAATTCTAATATTATTATTTTTCAAATTATTAAGTGGTTCACGATAAATGAATTATTCTATATATCAATATATGAAAAATGTTTGTAAAATATTGAGTAATTCATTTGTAGGGACTCGAGTTACAAGACTTACAACAAAAGAAGATTCTGTTACATAGAGATATTTATGCAATGATGGAACAATTGAACAAACTTCAATCTCACCCTGAATCTTCAGTCAATTTCATGTTAACCAAAAAGACTAAATTATTCAATGCTCGTCCTGGTAGTCCTAACTATTTAGGAGACCCCAAATTACTTGGTAATTAAATACTTTTATTATAATTTAATTACATATGTTTATATGTTATTTATTTAAATTATACAATTTGTAGGATTGCCTCCAGGTTTAAATAAATTTAGACCACGCAGAGTAATGGATGTAATAAAATGGGATTTTATTTCAAAGTCATGGTTTTCAGATACTGATTCAAATCCTCGTAGAAGAATTGAGTCATTTGCAAAAGAAGGTCTAGATGATGTTGTTCGTGAGGTCAGTTTAAATAGTTATTAATCAGATCGGGAAAGGGACTTAAAGTATTAAAAAAATTTGTTTGGCTATCAATCTATTTATTGTTGTTATAATCAGGATGAATAAATTAAAATTTATAAGTTCTGATTAAATCCTGTTAATAATCTATGAAAAACTTAAAATTTGAATTATTTGAAACTTTTAAAATGATTTTAGGTAATGGACATTATTAACAAATTTTCAAAACAACGGGGAAGAGTAATTGAATTTAAAGAAATTTTTTATGGTTATCACAGAGTTAATCCATTGTATGGGGTTGACTATATATTAGATATGTTGTTAATGTACAAAAAATATAGGGGAAAAAAAATGACCGTGCCAGTAAGAAGACATGCATATCTTCAACAACAATTTACAAGTTAGATAAGACTAATTTCTATTCTATACTTTTTGTTACTTGAGGTTATTTAATATCAATTTGTCAATTGTAGATTTTGAAATAAGAGAAGTAATTAATGGCGTGGAAGTAAAACAGAAACAGCTTGAAGAAACATTTAGTATTGATTTTGGGATTGAAGAGAACACTATGCCAGCCAAAGACATTGTAGATAATGGATTGCTTCGTATTGATGGTCACTCAATTGAAAACATAAAACAATCATTAGATAAAATTTCATTAAAAACTATTAATTTTGTATTACCATTATTCAATCGCCATGCAACATTTATTCGTTTTATGGATAACTATGAATCTGTTTGCTTAGCTAATAATGAACGTGTTACCTTAACAATTGTACCTTTTGGGCAAACAACATTAAATAAAGCTGTAGAAATTGTTGATGCTGTTAAAACCAAATATCCTAATGCTAGAATAAAATTGTTACCAGATTTAGAAGATTCTTTTGCTCGAGCATTAGCTTTAGACTTCGGTTCTAGTCGAATAAATGCACCTGAAGATCTACTTTTTTTTGTTGATGTTGACATGTTATGGACAAATGCTATGCTCGATAGAATACGGTTAAATACAATTCGGAATCGCTCAGTCTATTTTCCTATAGTTTACAGTGAGTTTGATCCTATAGTTGTTTATGGTCAATCAGTATCACCCAATCACTTTCTCATTAACCAAGATAGTGGCTATTGGAGGCAATATGGTTATGGTATAGTTAGTATGTATAAATCTGACCTAATAGCAATTGGTAGTTTTAATACATCAATTCATGGATGGGGTAAAGAAGATGTGGATTTATTTGAAAAATTTGTTAAGAAAAATCCAAAGATGATTTTTAGAGCTGTTGATCCAGACCTAGTTCATGTCTTTCATAAGGTTGAATGTGATACTAATTTATCTCAACAACAGGCTATAATGTGTAAGAACACTCGTTATGAAACATATGGAAATGTAGATCAACTAGCCAATACAATTTATAAAAACCAAGAAAAATTTTACAGTTTTGTGAATAAACAAATTAACAAGTCAACTAAAGCTATACCTTCAAGATGAAAACAATATTAGAGCTATTATGATGTAACAAGAGTACTATCAATATTTTGTAGTTTATTGTTTTTATTGTGATATTTTATCAAATTTTCCTACAAGTTTTTACTACAATTAATTTTTAATTTTTATAATATAACTAAAATTGTAAATAAAGTGAATTTGTGATAGATCTTGAAATAGTTCATAAACCTATAATTATATTTTAGTTTAAACCAGTGGCAGATTTATGGAGGAAGGAAGTCTAGACCTCTCGATAATAATAAAATAAAATATTTTTACACTAGATAATATGTAGGGTAAGACTGATACGTTTTCTAAGTAAATTTTTTTTTTTTAGAATCGACCCACAAAAAATGTTTAGAATTTGCCATTTGTTTTAATATTTTGTTTAAATTAACTAGATATCATTGTCTAACTGAAAAGTTAAGAAATATTACTAAAAATTTGGTAAATTTTACATGTTTGTATTTTTTCAAGAATTGTACATTAATATTAAATAGATTCAAAATTAACAATAATTATACATAGATAATTTATTATCCATGTAATTAAAGCATTAAAAAAATATTGATAGAAAACAATTAAAAATGTTGTATCACAATAAAAAATAACTAAACATTATCAAGTATATTAAACTTATATTATATTAACTTAATTACCTAATCTAGAGTATGTTTGAATGACATTTAATTGACGATTCCATTCTTGATACCAATTATTCAATAAATTGTAATCTAATAGATTATTATTTGCACTGTTCATACCATACGCTATTTGTGATATGTGATTATTTATTTCCATTGGATGTTTTTTTTTCTCATATTCATTTTGACTACTTTTATCTAATACTACATTATTTTCAATTTCATTTTCTCTATAACTATTTCCTGAATAAGTATTACTTTCAGAATCATCTGTAGAATCATTTTTGTCATAAATTTCTTCTACTTCTTCTAAATCTTCCCAATCTTCATCAAAATATTCTTCATCACTGCAAAATTCATTACTATCATTTTTATCTTCCTCATCAAGTTTAAGGCTGCTATCAACATAGTCATCATGATCACTGTTTTCAATATCACTGATTTCTTTAAAAAGCTGTTCAGTTTGGGCTTGGAAAATAGATGACTTCAGTTGACTTATATCTGGTATTTGAAATAAATCAAATATATCAGTATATTTTTGGTTGCTAGGATTTACATTACTAATATTTGAATTATTCTCATTACTAGATTTATCAAAATTATTCGAATGAAAATAATTTGTTTCTTTAAAATCATTTTTTTCACAATTATCGTTGATAACTATTTGATTCTTGGGCTTTAACTTTTTAGCAGCTTCATATTTTACAATATCAGAATCATAATTTTTGAATATATCAACCAATTCATCTGGATTATATTTCATATATTGGGCTGAATCATCAAAAAGGGGTTCTGGATCAAATAATACAAATGATCTATTAGCAGTCAAATGTCGTTTATTTATAGCATTTTCACTGATAAGTTTATTTTCTGTATCATTAACAACTTCACGTAGTTTTTGTAGCGATTCATTTTCAGATATACCTGGACCATAAATAGATTTTTTTTCATTTTCTGAAATGTCATTTTTGCATTTCTCTATAACATGATTATCGATTTCTGAATCTAAAACAAATAATTAGGGTGTTATTATTAATAAATATATATTAGCTTCAATATTTTTAATATTTCACATTACTTATTTGTGTTTCTTCCTTGTCAGGTAAATTATCCTTGTTATCATTATCAATTAAGGAAGCTGAGTCAAATTTCAAATTTAAATCTTCTAGTTCATCTTCTTTATAATCGAGAATAGATTTTTCTATTACTATTGGTAACATTTTGATATTTATATTTTCTATGCTGTTAACAATTTCTTTAAAAGACATTAACTCTTTATCATCATCTAGTATAGTTACACAATACCCTATAAAGTTCAATTAAATTTAATTATGATTTATTTTTACTCTCACAATCATATTTATAAGTGAGGTATTTGAACACAATTGAATATAATTCACAATTAATATGAATACTTTGATGTTTTGAGGAATCTAATAAAAAGTCACAATCTGTTTTATTTGTGGATAAATATGCCAAAATAAATATTATATTTTTGTGTACAGATAAAGTCTTTTATATCCATAATATAAACTACCAATGATAATAACATTTTTTACCAAAGATAGTGTGAATTTCTATAATCTATATTAATAACATGGTGAAACCAACTTGTACTTGAAATTTTTCTAAAATTACCTTTATTTCCAAATCTTCCAGCTCGACCAATTCTGTGTAAATATGTTGCCCAGTCTCGAGGACAATCCATGTTTATAACTAAATCCACATTTGAAGAATCTATTCCTCTAGCTACTAAATCAGTTGCAACTAAAATCTTAGATTTGAATGAAACAAGTCTATCAACTAATTTTAAACGAATATTTTGATCTTGATCACCTCTTATATAATCAGCCTTATAATCATGATCACGCAACATATTACAAACAGCTTCAACTCTATTGAACATTTTATAACTATTAATATTAATAATTTTGTTATATAAAAATATGAACAAATTTGTTTATATTATTAAGTTAACAATAAGAATGTTTTTTTATAAATAATAAACATATTTTAAATATACATATACACTGTTTAAATACCTTGTCATAAAGTTTGTAAATATAATGCATTGTGTATGTGGTAAATTACGTAAAATATTGAGAAGACGTAAATTTTTTGCAGGTAATAGTATTATATTAGTACTAACTGCTTTAACACAAGCTACATATTGTTTTATACCAAGTAAAAATTTTTTTGGGTCTTGTGTTGCATTCATATCTTCATCTGTACCTTTTACTATAGTATACTCTTCCATAAATTCATCAAAAAGGAATTTAATAGTTTTATCAATTGATGCACTAACAACAATTTTTTGTTTTAATTTAGGTAATTTTCCATCTATCAACCTAAAAAAATAAATACATATACTAGAAAAATTATAATTTATTAGTATATATGATTCATTTTATAAATTAATCTTACCAAACATCTTTGGTAAAATTTTTATCAGTAAACATTCTATCAACCTCATCTAATACAAAAGTCTTTACATGTATTCCTTTTAAAACATGTTCATTTAACAAATGTTTGATACGTCCTGGAGAACCAACAGCTATTTGACAACCAATTACTTTTTGTCTATCTTCTTCAACTGATGTTCCACCAATGAAGTATTCACATTTTAAATCTAAAAATAAATGTTTAAACATGAAATTATATCATTTGTAGACACAATATACAGAGTAATTTTGTTATAGTGGACCACTTAATCAATAACTCAAAATCATAAAGTATTTTTAAAGGATAAAGCAAGTTTATCCCTTAAAATTTAAATTAATAGCTTCTTAATATTATTCCCAGTAAAAGTATTTTTAATTTATTTTCATTCAAATTTAGACAGCATGATGGATAATTGAAGAGTGAATGTGTCAAACGTTCTATGTGCCAAAAACATATTTGTTCAGAAAACACAAAAAACAATGGTAACATGGACATGTCTCACATAACGAATACCATCTATGAATGCAATTTTGTACAAGTAAAAAATTTAATTGACATTTGAAACACATACAAGATTGTGGCCTTTGGCACATAGAACATAAATCAGAAATAAAACAATTTTTCACTTTTTGGCACATAGAACGTTTGACACATTGACTCTTCAATTATTTTATAATGACAAATTTATGTCATAAATAATACACAAGTTAAAAAAATACTTCATGATTGATAAATTGAGAATAATATGTAACCAATAAAACCGATAATAAATTCTCAATATCATTTTTAATTTAAATTAATTGTTTAGTTCACATTAACATGATCAACCTATAAATAGAAGTAAAATAATAACTTCCCTAAAATTATACTAAATATATTTTTTTAACTTGTACAAAAGATAATCAAATTTAGTTTATTGTAAAATAATTATTTTTTGTATAATTTTTAGGTATATTTTCTTTCTTTATTTAAGTTTATTAGTAATAAAAAAATAATTTGTACTAAGATGTTAAATCTTCAATTACCAGGTATATATGTTCCAACTTTTTTAAAACATTGTTGTATTTGAACTGCAATTTCTCGCGTAGGTGCTAAAACAATACTCTGCAAATTAGGTTGGTCTACTTTAAGTTTCATAAGTATTGGTATAACAAATGTTAGAGTTTTTCCTGTACCATTTTTAGCTTCAACGATTGTATCTAATCAGAATAAAATAAAAATTGTAAGTACATGGCTAGCAATGATGTTACAGTTATATTAGTACAGAGTGATTGATTAACAATGTCTCATACAATACCTTTAAAAATACAAAAAATTGATTAATTTTTCTTTTCAAAGTTTATAGGTTTTTATATGCTTTATTATTATTATTTTTTAATATCATTCAATCCTCTTTAAAAATGTATCAGCTTGAATTTTTTGAATTTATATATACTAATTTAATAAGTTTTAGTATTGGAAAATTAACTAATAAAAAAAATGACATGACAATAACTTTTTAATCATTATTTTAGAAGACATTATACTTTTATATCTAAGCAGTAGGAATGGTACAGAATGCCTAATAATAGTAATACATTTATCTCCCACCAACATTTGAAATATTAATATCTAAAAAATTCTGGTTCAAAAACAGTTGTCATCCAGTCATTTTTTAATTAGATAATAATATATAATGCGAGCTTGATAAATATGTATGTTATTGTTTAGAAAACTAAAGTAGATATCTGTTGAAGGGATAGAAATAATTTTTTTTTAATGAGCAACATGTAGTTTTATAAGTTTTTGATAAGAAAATTACCTTGTCCACCAATAATGGTAGGTAATGCAGCAACTTGGATTGGTGAAGCATACATAAACCCAATGCTAGTTAACCCATTTAACACTGTATGACTGTCACTTATTAATGTACTAAATGGTGTTTTATTACAAGTCTGTACATCAGATGTTCTATTTGTATTGTTCGCGTACTCAGAAACAGGCATTTTTGATTTTGGGTTATTAATTTTAGACAATAACGATTGAGAAAACAAATATTATAAAATCCACCTTGAATGATTTAAAAATGTAATATAATTACATAAATTCTTGTAAAATAATTTATATATTTATTTTTAATTTTATGGATATAAAATGAATTTAAGATTTAATAACATTATATTGAACAATATTCTTTAAATTTAAAATAATAATCTTGCCGCTCTCCGTTGAGAATGATAAAATTATGATGATAAAATGTTATCATTCGGCAAGTATTGGAATGACAACTACTTTAACCAAAATCAATATTTTCCTCTGCCACATTTGTTTAAAAATGACAGTATCCATTTATATTTTTAAAATAAAATGTTTAATATCATTAGATAGTCCAGGTTTATTTCAAACTGTGAGCCAAATTTGGATGTAAAAGGCAGTATAGTATAGCATAATTATTAATTAATAGTACACAATATATTATTATAATACTAACTACTAAGCTTTATACTCCCGAAAAATTAAATGTTCATCAAACATTAATTTAATCGTGAGTATGTTTCAGGAATCGTATGTAGTAAAAGCAAAGTTTCTCGAGTAGATTTTTAGTCCCAACTTTTCTAAGGTTGTGGTGTATTTGTAGGCAGTGGGGAAAGGAGGTCCATGGATATCCGACACATCCCCCATGGACATAAAATCGTAGTACCAGGGATAGTAAAAGTGTAAAACTCCCTACTAATCTACATTCTAAAAGCTATCTGGGTCTCCATATATCATTTCTAACTAAGCCACTAGTTTAAAATAATTACATTCTAATATTGGTAAATATAAACATTATTATAAACATTTTTAATAACAGTAGTTATGTTTACAAATATATATTTTTATGGAGCTTCTCTATCTTAGTTCCTAATAACCCATTGTTTGTGTGAAATAATGGTTTCTTTAAATATTTTTATATTTCTAAAAAATATACTATCCATAGTAATTCTGTTGTATCTTTAAAACAATATTTAAATAAAAATAATAAAGGTAATCTATACATTTTGCCATAGTAACTTTTTTATAGTTCATATAAAAAATTATTAAGAGTCAGTTTAACACTTATTTTATTTAATTTTTATTAAAATAAATACATCAATTTTGATTAGTGTTCATTAAAAAAATAAAAAATCGAATTCAGTAATGATGTGCATTCATAGTTCTGAATGTTTATGTTTGTTTAATTCATTAGATTCTTTCCTAATAAATTGTGCTCATGTTCTATAACATTATTGTATAACCAACCTCATGCTACTAAATAATGATGCTTCTACGATTTTGTTTTAATTATGAAAACTATTCAAAAAATAAGTCAAATAATGTTAATATTATTAATCCTAGACCTTATAATTCTATTCATTCATAGTGATGTAAGCGGGGGTAGACCAGTTAACGGTTACCGATAACCGAAATTATTACCTACATACCCCTGATATATTTTTTATCTAAGGGTATTGAGCATAGGCGAGGGGAGGTCATTTTTTTTGATGGGAGCTTTTTCCCCCTTCAAAAAATTTTTTTATATAACAATGCATATAATTTTACTAAATTTCTGAGGGAGGCTAAATTATAAACGGGGGTCTTAGTCCCCCAACTGACACCTATTTTATAAGTACAATCAAGGATATTTTTTCAAAATTATAAACTATTATATATTTAATAGTTGGTAATCCTTCATTGAATGTATAATAGTAGTAATATACTTTTTCCTATTAATATTGAGAAAAGGGTATATTTCTCAGATTTAACGTTCCAATGTAAATATTATTAATTATAAGTACTTGCTAGTAGTTAATCCAAAAATTACACTTCATTTGCATCTTTCATTGCAACATAATTTTTTATATTCAATTAACTTTTTAACATTGAATAACAATAATGTGTAGCAATCATTATTTATAATAAATAGATTTAAATATTATGATGTAACTAAAATATGTGTAACGCTACATCATATATTTTTACAACGGGTATTAATATTAAGTAGTATTTTAATTTGATTTTCACACGAAATTGATAAAAAATACTTTTGATATAATAATGATTTTATTATGAAATGTATGATGTGATAGTAATATAAATATTACCGATAATAACGATACCGCGTGTATCAGAATTAGAGGTTCCTATTATTTCGATGAACATCAGTTTGACTGACTATTGGTAGAGTTATCTCGTAAGGTCTTATGTACCACAACGTTTCATGATGTCTCCGGTCACGATGCATGAATCGTGATTAGACCGTGCAAAACTCTCTTCTCTTAAATTGTATGTATACATATTAAAAATTATACTTTGAAAACATCACACTCACAAATAAATACTTAAAAAAATCTTACGGAAACATATTGGCTGTGTTATATACAAATACTTATCTCACTAATGGTGAAATCACAATATTTGCTTTTTACTTATATGAATAATTTATTTAGCGTCCAGCTGTAGTAATCTATGTATTAATATTTGATGCCAAACTCTTGATAATTAAAGTGAAATAGAACTGAGGGAGACTTTTTTGAGTAAGGACAGTTTTATTTTTATTATACTCTAAAATTAGTATGGATAACAGAATAATTGACTAAATTATTCCGTCGTTAATAGTTATAAATGCTATTGGATAAATAAATATATAAAATCTATTAAATTAATTAAATTTAGCATTAATAATTGCACTATCTAAGTATAAATTAATAAAAATTATATTTACAGTTTTAAGAAACTGCGCGTTTAAAACAAAAAAATTCAAAATTAAAATTTTTGTTTAAAATAATGTTATAAAAATGTTTTTATAACCATATTTTTTAAAATTGCTTTTTGGGTTGGTTTTATGATATTTTTTAAATGTTTTAAACTGTTTACTTATGTTTTAAACTGGGATTTTTTTAATATATTAAATTTACATGTGTAGTTTATTATAGATGTTAAAAATATATAATTCGCTTGCCATAACAATTTTTGTATATTTTCTAATGTTCAAATGTTATTTCTTTTCAGTATAAAATAACTTTCCGTTTACTTAAATATATATAACTTCACATATTTTAATTTTTATTACTGTTGTAGTCAAATTGTAACATCAACAAATTGGCATACATGAAACTATAAACGATGTTAAATTATTTATTGCACAATTGCTAAATAAATTGAACTCTTATGAAACTTCACATTTACAAGTTTTCAATGATATCTTCTACCATGTAATCTTTAATACTATTATTATTATAGGCATAGTAATTTTTTAGGAGCATATTAACTATAACATTAAAAATAATCTAATTGAGGTAAGTTTATAGAGAAACTTGTAACATTTACAGTAAAGAAGTGTAATTATAAACCTACGCCCTTTCTTCCTTTAGTCTCGTCTTATAATATCACCATATTACAAAACAAAAAAGTTATTTAGCGAAATAAAAATACACAAGGTTAATCACAAATATAAAAAATACTCTGCCGACTGAAGTGTTATAACATTTTTTTAAAGTTTTTAGACGTACAGACCTCTAACTTAATTAGTTTATTACATAAATGACAGTGGTATACCCAGGATTTTTGTTGGAGGCTAAAGTTTTTTTCTTAACTTATCACAATTACTAGCGCTAAAAATCATATACTATTAATTGTAATAATTGACCAATGATGAAGGGCTACAGTCCCTTTATCTCTTCTTGTTAAGCCGCCATTATAAGGTAATATTATTGTATAATAGTCTGATTATAAAAACATTTAATAACTCGGCAAATACAGCAAAAAAGTATTTAATTTGTCGATGGAATTCTAATTTTATTTTACATTTTTTAATTTCTGGCAAATTAATTTAAAGATATTTACACGCAGGGCTGCTTTGTGAGTGACATGTATTACTAATTATCTCGATGAGAAATTGTTATGTAGTTTAATTATTATAATAGCAAAATTTCCAAAAGCAGCTCTATTTACATAGAACTCCATTAAATTTTTTTTCCAAACTCCTGTTTATATTGCCAAAAAACATTTGCCAGAGAATATTTTAGAAACAATAATAATAAAGCCAATTATTATTGAATCATTTTTTAATATAACACTATTTACCCATCGGACGTTTGTAATTAAATAAACTAAAAGTCAAGAGCTAACTCGATAATTTTTTGTTTATGTTTAACGACTGGTTAACCATTTGGAAACCTTAGTTATTATGTCATCATACGTGTTTTTTTATAAATTTAGATTTTATAAAATATTATGTATTGTTAACCTACTACGATAAGATCACGTATAAAATAACCCATTAACTATTTAATTATGAATTATAATTATAGTAAGACAAGACGTTACTAGCCTGTAATATCATACAGGCGTCTAAAGCGAACTAACAACTCGTACACAATTAAATAACCAAAACTTGACTTTTAATCTATTTTTAATAAAATTAAAAAAAAAATTCGACTATTTTTCCCTCTAAAATTAAATATTTTGTTACAGATAGTTTTAATAAAATCAGTTACTTAAAAATTTTGTTAATTAAAAATAAATTGAGATTAATAATTTTAAATTAAAAATTAATCATAATTATCAATATTGTAAGTTTAATTTGTTTGAATTTTTTTATAGAGTTAAATTTATAATTTTACATGAAGAATTGTGAAAAGCTGAAAGGTTTTACTCGGTTATCATGATTATATTGAACTGGAATTTTTGAATAATTTAAAAAAGTTTTGTTTTTGCTCATTATTTTTTCATATTATAAAATGACGAATAATAAAACAGTTATTGTTTAATTTAATTTGCTGTCTTAGTACTTGAGGCCCAAAAGTACCTGTCTTCTACCGTCCTTTAATTCTGGCCTACATGTACAATTTGTTTTTTTATCGACGTTTTATTAATGCCCTTAGCAATTATCTAACATAATTTCCTTAAGCGTCGGCCAGGTATGAGATTATAAATTTAATTATTAAGCTTAAAATGTACAAGGTTTAAGACAAATCTATAACTCTTGTGTTATTCGGGGAAAAGTTAAATCAGTTATTTAATGTGAAGCAATTACTTCATATACCTACCTCTCTTAGATCGACGTTTAATATTTCTTTTTTTTTAAATGAAAAATATAATCAACTTTTTTTTATAAAATATAATAATGGAATAATAATTATTATTTAATTTTATACGATAAAAATAAATAAAAAATCTTGTTTACTCGATCAGCTATTGAATTTATGGAGAAAAAATGCGAATGAAATTTTGTAACAATCACAATTATGAAATATCATAGATTCGAATAATATTTTCGACGTCTGCATCTAAGATAAATAGTTACTGATGGTCAACTACCAATTTAAATAACAGTCAGCATAATAAAGTATCCGCCCCCATTACTCTTCCCCGTGGCTATCTTCATCTAATGCAAGACGAATAACTCCATCGACTATGACTTTCTCTCCCACACACGTTTACACGTGGTATTTTTATACGTAATAGTGACGACCAAGACTGACCGATATGGTATTCGGGATGACCGAGGGCCAAACGAGCGGTTGCTGTTCGTAACAGGCATCTGAGAAGAACTTAACTGATGACCTATGAACTTTAGCAGCTGCTGATAGCCTCAGGATAGTATCATTATTACGTGTCCGACACATCCCCACGTTTAATCGTAAGAAACTATTGAGCATTTAATTAATTTTTCTATTCCAAAGAAATCCTATTTTTTCAATCTTAAGATATACTATTAATGACGGTGGTAGCTCGTTAAGATAATTTGCGAGTGATTTATACAATTTTACAAAGTGGTAAATGGATGTATAATTTTTTTAATTGTGATATTTTTAAAAAATGTTTATTTTAGTAGACTAATTATTATGGTAATTAATAGTAATAGTTGATATATAACGACTTTGCATAAATAAATTTTATTATTTTAAATGGGTACTATTTATAATAACCTCAAAATATGATCTTCGTAAAAAAATTAATAATAAGTTGGCATTAAACCTTAACCTATCTGATTACTGGCATATTTATTATCTGATACTGAGTAACGAAGTGAGAGTATTTTTTAATAACTTAAGCTGGAGTCGTTTTTAACTAATTAATTCTAATATAAATAATATAGGCCCTTGGGATTAGACTATCTAAATATGACAAGTTTACAAAGTTCTTACAGAAAAATTAAGCATGTTTAACTTTAAATTGTTTAATATTAAGTAAACACTATATAAATTTACAAAGTTATACAGGGTAGTCAATTTAAAATTTTTATCTAGAACCATCTATGAATATAATTTTTCAAATTCTTGATTATTTTTACTAAATATAACTGAAAACCGCGTGCTATCTACCTATGCCATTAGTGATTTTATCAATAACATGTAAGCAAGGCTTGGAACTTTAAGCGTTAAAAATACAAGATATGCACATACAAATGCACTAAAATTGATATAATTAGCAAAAAAATAATGTTAAATATAATAATATGTTTAATATTTTTTATATATGACGTAAATATTTTTTATTTAATATATACTTATTGATCATTGTACTGAACTACTTTTAATTGTGCTAGAACTTCTTCCAAAATGCCTAGAATTTCAATTAACGTCATATTGTGATGTTGAAGTTAAAAAATTGAATTGTGAAGAATTTAAAATTTGATTTAATATAGATTTAATTGCTTTAGACACATTTTTTCGCTACATTTTTTTGAGCAATTGTAATACTTAGTGCCTCTTCTGAATCTAACATATTTATAATTTTCAATTTTTTTTGTAATTTTCTCAGTAGTAAATAATAGAAATTATTCAACAAGTGATAATAGGCTCTGGTAGTGTTAAAATTTTTGAAGCATAGTCTTAATTAGCAAAAGACGCATTAGTGCATTTTTTAAAAAAATTTTAGATTCTATATAATTTGATCGACAATAGGTACCAAATTGACTAAGTATTTCTTCTTTAATGTCATTAGAAATGATATAAAAAATATTGCTCATGTGTGATTTCATTAAACCTATTAATATAATCTATTTCATATATAATAGAATATAAAAAAAATATGATATATAAAATGTATTTTTACAATTATTATAAAAACATGATTATTTCAATTATTAAATAAATTCCCCATACCAAATAGTTTAGAAAAGTGCGGTCCCCTACCTTGAATTTAATAATATGACAACTTAATTTTAAGTGAAAATTGAACTTAAAAAGAAGAATCATGGGCAAGAAAAAAAGGTCATAAAAAAATATATGTATTATACATTTTTATTTTAATTAAAAAAAAATTGCCCAGTCTTATTCATATAAAACATTTTTATATACGCGCCTACTACACCACTATTATGGATCAATAAACATATTAAATAACACATCCTTTACTAGAACACTTATAATCTACAAAATCTTTTTTACATCGATAAAAACTGAAATTAAAATTATAAGATTTGGTAGCTAGGATTGTATGCGTGTTAATTTTTTAATTAATGACACGAAAAATCTGATTGGATAA